ATTGACTCCAACCATTCCTCGCTCAAATCCAAGCAAATGTTACAAAGCGACCCCACCAATTCCGCAACAAATCTCCCCTTCTCAAGAGATGAAAAGCGAAATTCCACGAACAACGTATACTGGTCGCGTGCTCCTCCATCAGTAGTATCACCGTTACACCAGTAATAAGTCAATAACACCTACCATCCGAGTGTGACCTCAACACATGAGGCGAATCAGTCGGTCATCGCCATACTGTGGACAAACATCGGGCACTTTTTTTCCAAGCTGTCGTTTTCTAATAACTCTATTCTGTGATTATTTTCCGGCCACAATTGTCATCTTCCTCACAAAATGATCAGAGTTGGCTTAGTTGTGGTGCCCACAGCAATGGCTTTCACTGTCTGATGTATATTTTCAGTATCTGTCCCATTTCCACTGATGGTACATGGCTTGAATCGCAGTCAACTGACTAATTATCCCCATCTCGAACTAGTCTGTTCCAGTGAGATGAGGGGCCAGCACATTGAAGAATGAGCTCGAGATAACTCAGGCGCCGACGTACTAATCAGAAGATCCGCGGTCCGAACAAATCCCGGCATCTTGACGGCTATGGGCAACCTGGCAGTATCCCTCCTCTCTCTCTCACTCTCTACTCCCCAGTCACATTCGTATCTCAATGAACATTGGGCTATAGTCAGATATGAGCAGACAACCTGTCGATGTAAACGTATTTTCCCAGACCTTATCCCCCTTCCCTTCACGACCCGATTCCTAGTTTCCTTAAAATAACTGCTGAACAAAGTTCGATACTGGAGGTTTCGTAACAGTATCAGGTGTGACTCTCCACCCAAACTATCTATGACAGCCTTTAATCTTTCTAGTAAGGTGATCCCATGGTGCCCTCGGGATGGCAATTCAGTCTGGTCTTTGCGAAAACCTCAACATAGCCTGAAGATTGAGTTATCAGATGCATAACAAGACTTCTGATGTTTTCCGGATCTCATATTGAGCACAAGCATGGGGTTAAGATGATTTTTTTTACTTATAGATGATACGATAGAATGTCCTAGGCGTTCCAGTCTATCCAAACGACCGATTACCAGTAAGATGCACAGAATGGCACAATCGGAAACAAGATGGCTATACTCCCTCAGCAAACAGGAAGACACCCTGTCTCCGCAGCCCCTCCAAACCAGATTTTTTCCACTGAATATCTTCGGTGAACCCAGA